TGACTGTCAATGTGATATGCTGAAAGGTCCAGAAATCTCAAGGAGCATAAAGAAATAAATCTTTCTTTCCTCACACAGAATGGATTTAACTAACTGATTAGAATATTCAATGGCTGTTTTTAGCTTTGAAATAATCCCAACTTGTGGTTTACCAAATATTCTGAATAGGTGTATTTTTAGTAGTTGGGCAGGTCAGGCAGTGAAACAGATTTACATAAAGGAACTTCAAAGAAAAGAATTTTCTTCAGAGGTCCATTAAATTCTGTGCTGTTTTGTTTTCCTATACTCCACATGTAAATGACAAAGGGTCAGATACAAGCAAATCAATAACCAACCCAGGAAATCTGAGGGCAGGATTGAGGCTACTAGAGGGGAGGGAAGGGAGGTAGCAGAGTAGGGAGGGAATATAGTGGTCTGTGGTGAACTATGGCTATCTTGCTGGTGGGTGTGGTATCCTAACATACACATCCAGGGTGTGATCCTGTACCTCTAAGTCAAATACAGTGCCTCAATAAAAGTAAATAAAAATAAAAGGCACATTCACTAATTTTCTTATGTTAATAACCTGAAATAGCATAAGGAAAAGTAGAAATTTTAGATATGCTACTTATAACCTGATTCCAGAGATACTGTTACTGAACCCAGCTCTACCTTTACTTGACAAGGAAAAAGACACTGAAAGACAAAACCTAGTTGTATAGCGAGGGATGGACTTTAAGTGGTTGCTCTTCTTGTATTTCTCATAGAGACAGTAAGAAATCATCTATCTCATTAGCATAGACAAACCATAAGGGTTTTTCAAATAAATCCAAATAATCCCAGATCTGGCAACCTGAAGGGGCAACTCTGAAAGCAGAAAGCCCTAAGGTAGGCCACACAGGAGAGGCTGGAGAACCTGGGGACTGCTGAGTCTACTGGTCTTCTGGTCACAGGCGTGGCCCTTATGAACATTTCGAATCGTAATATTTGGGATGTCTTACAAAGCATAGAAGTGTGCATTTGAATCAGTCATACAGCCCTTGTTTTAAACAATTAAAAACTGCTACCATGGAAAATTTGGGGATGCTGTCAGCAGAGGAGGCTGACCAGATCCTGATGTCACCATCTTTCCATGAGCAAATGTACAACTGCCTGCCAATTATTAAAACAAGTAGCAAATAAACAATGTTGAAAAAAAAAATAGGCCCCAATTATCTTTTTCTTATCTTTTTGAAATGTCTCATCATCAAATAATGACAAGTTTGTATGCACTATAAAACTACTTCAAGTAAACTTTGACCTTACAGGAAGATTCACATATATCTGACAAAGGTGAATAAACACTAAGTCAGGTCAAAAATCACATTCCAAGAACAATATAGGGTTTTACTTTCCAGTCCCAGTATTTATCCTAAAATAGCCCTTTAAAATCCATAATCTCACTTCTTTAATTATGAAAACAAAAATCAATGTTTGATTTATAAAGATAGTACTTGTCACAAATTAATACCTTCTTATGCTTTGATATGTGTATTAAACTGAATATCACATGTTCTTATTTTACCATTACATTGACTTAAAAAATACTATTCCTTAAAAAAAAAATACTGTTCCTTATTGGTGTTGTGTAGTATTGTTTCAAAATAATAAAAAATATGCAGCTCATAAATTTAACATTTGACAAGTTACTCAAGTTGACCATGAAAGTTACTTCTACCATGAACTATGTTCTGCCTCAAATTTCAGGTCAAAATGGTTGCAGAATATCAAGAGAGAAAGAGACTTATGATCTTAAGAATTCCTACAGCAAGATATTCATTTTAGATATAAAATGATTTTTGATATAGATATTAAATCATGATTCTGTTAACAATTTGCTTATTCTGACCAATGAATATCTCTGATTCAGGCTGCTATCCAATGACAGCCATCTCTGACTTTTAGTTAATATTAGCAATGTACCTCCTTTGTATCATGCTAATATCTACACACTAAAAGGTCCAGCCCCCCAAAAGGAATCCATCCATATACAAGTCTTTAAACAAAAATGCACTAAAAATTAGCATTAAGCATTGTTCTACTTGAAATATAAAAGAAGAGGAATGCATTGACTCTTTTCCATAGGACTGTTTTTGGTAATGTATGACCTTTTGTAGTTGAAAAAGATATTCTATTTTGCTTCTTAAAAACAAAAACAGGAAGACCCAAAATGCACTCTTTCTTTCTCTATGATAGGTTTTCAGCAACATAATGAAAAAAAAAATCTTTAATCTGATAATCTTCCCTAAAATTTCATATGTTTATAGTCTGAAAAATCAGATAGGAAAGAGTTAAAGAGAAACCTCCACCTACCATCACTCTTTCATGGTAAAAAATACAGTTTCTTAAACCTCAAAGTAAGAAATCAAAAGTAAGGGGTTCACAGATTTTGAAGTTCAGGGAGGAAGAAAGCACTGAAATTTCAGTTGTTAGCATACAAAGCATCTATAAGAAACTTCTTTCCAACTATAATAACTTGGTTACTTACTAGAAAAAAATTATGATCATATAAACTTCATGCATGATTGATAACATTACTATTTATTTTAAGATTGTCCTTGAGAATCAATCAAATAAAGCATCCTCACTATGTTTTGGAAGCAAGAATGAGGAACATGATATAAGTGCCTTTTCTGGAAATGATATGAAGCACTGTTTTTCCCATTAGTGTTTTCTACCAAAAAGAAATATTTAATAAAGGTGAATCAGGCAGAAATTTATGTCAGAACACATCCTGGCATCCCATGGTTCTTTACAATATGTTGAATTTACTAACTGCTACTCTAATCATTAAAAAAAAAAAAAAGAGGCTATCATTACACATAATGAAACATCAAACCCAACTAAGGAACAGCTTACAAGCTTAAAAAACACTATTTATAAATAATACAAACTAAAGTTTTATAAGGACTTAGAAAGCACATGCCTTTAATCTGTCATATTTACATCTTTGTATTGTGTAATAAATATGAATGGAATAACTTAAATACTATAAAGATGGAAAAAATGACTCTCACTTATGAACATGTTTGCATGATCATTTTTATGACTCTTAATGAAGCAAGAGATAATGGAAATTCAAAATGCAATCTTTCCTCCAAATCATAACTTATCTCCTATAATATTATTTGAAATAATTGATCTATTCCAACTATGAAGAAAAACCATCACATTTGTGTTTAGCCTCAAAAAGGAAGCTATGCTATTCCAATAGGTCTCAAAGCAAATCTAAGACTTTCCCAAAGCAGGCAGCCTTCAGTCCAGGCCCTCCCTCCATCTCTTTAGTGAGCAAGATAAAACCTAGCACTTACTTTAAACCACCTACCCCACAGCACACACACCTCACCACCAAAACCACCACCACCAATCTGAGGCAATAGGCCCTTCTGTTTATGACATTAGAAACAACAGCTTGCCACTTTATTCCTTCAGTCTATGAACTAATTATTTCTTCATTTCAACATTAAATTATCTCTTGAATTAAATGTTAGGTACAAAAATCCATCTGTGGCATATAATTCCAAAAGTTCAAATTTGCAATCAAGAGAAGTTTGGACTTTCAGACTCTTCCATCTCTCTTTTAATTCAGGAAAACAAAGTTTTACTTTCCTACGGTTAAACAGTTTTGGTTTTTGAACTGGGGGATTTTGTGTAATATGATCATATCCAACATCTGTAAACTACTCTGACTCTTTTGAGAATGGTTCTTACTTTTGCAAATACTATGCTTCTCCACCAACCATCACTTATCATATAGGATCCTAAGAACAGTTCATATAAACACAGGGTTATATTCAGAATATGCTCTCACACATGGCATCTATTATGCACAGTTTGTATATAAATGTGTTACATGAAACACATTTAAATACTGTGCAACAGGTCCTGCTATTGTGTAAACAAACACTCACAGTAAAATATCAATAAGCTTTAAAGGATCAATAATATTTTTTTAATCACATTATTGTTCAGAGACCTATTCATAATTCTTTGATGTCAAAGGACAGATGTCAGAGGACAGATGATTTCATCAAAATGAGGTTTTTCTTGTTTTCAACTAAGACATTCTTACTATCATTGTCTTCTAGCATGTATTTGATAAACTGGTATGAGAGCCCAGGTGTATTCAAGCTTCCATTGATTTATTGTACATCATTGGCTTCAGTGCTGAGTTGATGACAGGAAGAGTACTTTGGCAGAGGTCTGACAAGTCCTTATCCTCAAGTTCCCTTTTGCTTTGTGTCTGCCTGTTTCCACAACTATCAAAGTAAAGCAAATGACAGACTATAAACCCTCTCTGCTTTGCCATGAGAGTGTGAAATCAAATTAAAAACACATCTCAGAACTATTACATGGGGCCACATTTATTTTCAGTTGGCGGGGGAGGGGCAGGGGAGACACTTAAAAAGAGATGAATTTTATGTCCTCTGTGTAGCCAGATCTAGTTACAGAGTATTAAGTTATGTCTAAATGAGAAAAAGACTCTGTCTAGTCAAGTGTTTTATCACAAAGTAATGTCATTAAGCACATCAAGTATTCCCACGCTCTCCTCTAGATTCCTTGATTTGAACCTCCTTTGTTAGGCACAAAACACAGGGAGAAAGATTTCAGGAACAATGCTAAGGGAACACAGGATGCCAAGCCATGCTTTCTCCATTTCCCGAGCAGTTTATCCATCATAAAAGCACGTTTGCTATCTGTAGGACTTCACCTCTTCCCTGTGTGAAAAGCATGGACCAGCCACAATTGTGTCTTTGAGCGCGCAGCATTGTGCTTTGTGCTGCTGGGGATAACGGATTCTCAATCTCAAGCGCATCCATCACCTAAGACACAGGCAAACTCAACTAGCATCTCCGCGGCTGCAAGGGAAACAATGTGTTGAGACACTGGCAGCTCAGAGCTACCGGGAGTAGCTCTGTGAACGGAACGTTTCAGGGTTCAACCCAGGGAAGGGGGTAGGAAGAAAGCCCTCATACTCTTACCTCCACATTGAAATACTGCTCCGTTCCGCAGACGGTAGCACATAAAATCCAAAGCAAGGTTTGCAAGAAAAAAACCCCCGAACGATGCACGAAATCCAACCGTCTTCCAGTGCTGAATGTGAGTAAGATCATAGTGAACTGTGCTTCAAAGGATGGACGAGCTCCCCTTCCTTTTCTCCCACTTCTCCCTCTCCCTCCCTCCCTGATTTCCTTTCAAGAAAAAGTCGTCTGGGTGGGTAAGGAGCCTGCAGGTTCACCCACAGCCGGGCAAAGGGAGGAGACCAGGGTGGGGTGGGGGGCCCGCGCTCGCCTGCCCCCAAGAAGCAGTGGTGGAATCAGGGTCAGCGGCAGCTCGCATTCACCATCCTCCGGGACCCTTCGCCGGGAACGTGGCGCCCAAGTTCACCCGCGGTTCCGGCTCAAAGCTTCCAGTTGCAGCCGCAGCAGCAGCCGCCGCCGCCGCCGCCGCCGCCTCCAGCCCGCGCGTCCTCCACCTCCTCCTCCACCGCCCACTCCGCCGCCGCTGCCGCCTCCTGCTCCTGCGGGAAGGGCCTCCGCCGCTCCGCGCTCTCCTGGCTCTGCTTCTCCTTCCCTCCTCTCCTCACTCCCCTCCAGAATGTTCATCCGTAATCTACATAACTCCTCCTTCCCGGGGGTCTGCCTGACTCTCCGGCCCTCGGCGTGCGCGCGCTCGTGCACACACACACTCGCAGCCCGACACACGCACGCACGCACACACACACGCGCGCACACACACACACACGCGCGCACACACACGGCTCCACACGGGCGCACACACAGCCCCACGCGCGCGCACCCGCGCACGCGCCCCTTAAAGGAGACCGACGTAAAAGAGAACCATTACAGTACCGCGCACGGAAAGTAGCCGGCCCGACCGCGGAGCCCTGGCTGGGAACGGGCTTTTAACGTAAGACCCGCTCCTCGCCCCCCGTTCACGCACCGGACCCTGGGCGCTCCATCTGTCCTCTTCGCCCACTCCCAGCCGGGCGCCCAGAAACAAGTGCACCCCTCCCCTGTAAGGGCTGGGTGGGGCTCAGCCTGCGGCCCCAGGTGGGGCTGGAGAGTGACCGGGGCCTGCTTTCTGGAGCGCCACGGGCGGCCTCAAACGCGCGGCCCTGAAAGGTCAGCAGGCCTGGGAATTGGAGTAGCGCCTCGGTTACCGTGGGCTGCTGCTTGGGGGTTCAGGACTGTTGCCAGGGTGGCCAAGTTTGGGGACACCTGAGGAGACAAGTCCAGAATGTCCAAAACTTTGTTGGGGTCCACCGACAGAACCCGTGGCCTGGTGTCTCCCTGAATCCTCTGTACCATCACTTCAGCCCTCCTTCAGGGTCAGAGTAGTCATAGTTATTGTTGGCTTTGGGTAGTGGGGTCTAGTCATCTACTGAAGAGGGGAGAAAGTGCTCACTCTAATGTTGTGTGGCCGATGGGAACACTCTGGGACCCAGGAGAGGTAGTCTGGGTGTTAAGAAAACATCAGGCCAGAGCTGGCTCTGGGAAGAAATCCTCCGCGCAGCGAAGGGAAGAAAGAGGGAGCAGCCTGAGGAAAGGCGAGTAAAGCAGCTGGCAGGGCGGGAGGAAGAGGCTGTGAGCAGATCGAGCGGGGGAGAGGCTGGCGGAGCCGGGAGAGCTGCAGGCAAGAGGGGGAGGCTGCTGGCGAGAAGCTCTGGAGAACTGCAGGCAGGAGAACTTCAGAAAAGACTGCCAGCTAGGACTCCAGCCTCAGCGTTGTGAGGCAGTGGATGGGGGCAGCAACCGCCAGCCCTTGGCAGGTGATGGGTTGGCTGAAAGAGAAAGGGGGAAGGGAGGCAGGCAGCATCTGTTTGGGGGCCTTGCCAATAAATGTGCTTCTCCTTGGCAGCCAGCAGAGGGGAAGAGGAGCCCAAGGGAAAGAAATGCAGGAGAGGTTGAGAATAAAGGCTGCTCCAGGTATGACAGCTACCTAGGTGAGGTGGAAGAGGCAATTGACAAGGAATTTCATGGTTGAGTCGTAAAGCAAGAAGCAGAAGTGCAAGAGGTCATGTTTGGTAAGCAGATGGAAAAGGATGAAAATACTTTGCCAAAAATTGCACTGGACTGTAAGAAATTGTATCCTAAAGAGAAACACAAGAAAAGCTAAGGAATGGGATTCTGGAGTTATTGCCTTAAAGATTATAAGAAGCATGGATGGTTTCACTCAGAGCATCAGTATAAGGGACCAGGGCGGGAAAGGTAATTGGAATAAAGTAAAAACAAAAACAACGAACAACTATAAACCAGAGTCATTTTATGGGGGTGGAAAGGGGAATGGGATCAATATTGGGTTGGGAAAAGTGTGCAGGATTGTGATGATGGGACACAGGTGAATTCGTGGTGGGAAGTCCATAGGGATTACAACTGAGATGAAAATAATGCACAAAATGAAGAATGATGTAATCAATCAATAAATAACAAATTACAAGAAACATATGCCACCCATTTTTGACCAAAGACTCAAAGGGAGGTTTTCCTGACAGTCCCCATGTTCCTAGCATATTCTGTCCACAAGAACATTGAAGACACCATAAGAAGAAACATCTTATGTTGTATAACATTGAAAATAGCAGCATATTTTTACAGGTAGAACCTCATTTAATTCTCACAACATCCCTGAGGGTTATGATTTCCTTTCACAGATGAGGAAAATGGTGGCAATAAAAGAAGTTTACGGCAAACCAGTCAAGTAGAAGTCAAGCCTTGTTTTCATACTTTAGTTCAGTGCATTTTCCTCTGCCTTCCAGTACCTTCCCATAGAGAAACTCATCCCTGCTCTTAACAATTCGATGACCAGTAGAGTGAGGTAGCCTAAATAAAAGGAGCAACTATAAGTCATCATGACTGCAAGGTCATAATATAGGAGTGACATGGTACCCTGTGCCAATATAAAATAGTAAATGTGATGGGGAGTATTTAACAATAAATTAAGAATCCTTTTTATGTATGTAATGTTTGTACCAAAGTGTAAAATTAAAGAGGGAAGAAGACAAAAAACTTTATATTCTTCCAACTCTTTTTTTTCTTCCTAACTCTTGACAGAGTATTAAAAGTACTGACTTGAAAATAAATTTATACAAAACATACTTGTGAAAACAGTTCTAAATGGTTGTCATCATTGCTAAATGAGCCAGAATAGGAAAATATTTTACTAAGGATGTAGAATACAAATTGAGTGATACTGGACTATCAGCAAAGAAGGGACATCCCACTGCAAGCAACTTGCTTTTTTTTAAAAAAAGAAAATACCTATGCTTAGAGCAAAAGAGATGGATTAACAGAACATTCATGGAAAACAAGATATGGGAAAGACTTCCAAAGAAATATTTATTTGATACTTGATTAAATAGGCAGATAAGGATCGCTAAATCACTTTACATAGGAATTAATATCTAGGGAAGAGTACCTTGAAAGTATACATTGGATTGACCATTTGGATAGATTGGTTGCAAAAAGCTAACAATTAAAACAAGGTGTAATCCATCTGTGAATTTATAAGGACCTGCACTATTAATATTTCCCTGAGGACCTATGCTTTCAAGGAGACATTGTAAGAGGAAAATCACTGAATGAAGGGAATCCTTAATTCAAAAAATTCAAATTAATGATTAGCAATAATCATTTTTAAAAATATATTAAATTCATTAGAGCAATGAATGCATAACATTCAAGATTCTAGAATTACTAATAGATATAAAATACTGAGACAGATATATAATAAAGATGGCAATGCTGTAAGAACATAGGTAATTAAATAGGAAGATGGTATAGAACAAGGTGGAAAAGTACTTTATTTTCCCCATAGCCTGTGGAGAAAGCACCATGAATGAGGTGGTTCTTTAAGAAAAGGTAACTTGAGGAATAGAAATATAATAGGTAGATAAGAAAAGGAAGGATATTTTAGACCTATGTAAATTGGAGGGGTAATTGGACCTATGTAAATGTATATATGTATGTATTAGGGACCTACAAATGGTTTATCAGGACTGGAAAGCAGACTGTCTGTCTGTAAAGCAAGACCAAGTTCTGACTGTATAGGTAGGCAGAGACCACATGGAGAATATCTTTGTTTTATATTTACTAACTTTTTGGAAATATCAACCTTTTAGAACTTTTCATAAATTTTACTTCATAGGTTCCACTAACCACTTATTGTTTATTCTTTGTAGGCCTTCTATCTGCACTAATCTAATAAGCCTAAAGCAATGACTTCCTGCCTGGGTATCTGCAGTAGTGCAATCACTTTCTTTGTTAGGTGAGTTTATTTTCCATCTCTCATCTTTCATATATGCTTTTACTTTGAGGGTTAAAATTATGAAATTCTTATTCTCATATCTTAATATTGTTAACTTTTTCACTGGTGATCTTTTTGGAGAAGGACTTATTTTCCTATTTTCTTATCACAGAAAATCACTTTTCTTTTTATATTAGTGAAATCTTCCCTCAAAAATATTGACTCTTCCTGTGTGATTTCAGTCCAATGCTTTCTCTGTTCTTACAATTTTAAAAAGCTAATGAATAATCTTAGAATTGAATGTCATTAGAAAACAGAGAATCCAAAGGATATTAAAAGAAAAATGAATAAGCAAGTCACAAGAAAGGAATAATTGCCCCTGGTGAAAGTTAATGGCAATTCAATAAAATATTACATGAGAGTGGAGGGGTCTGAGAATGTAAATAATATATATAACTCTCAGGAGGAAAATGATAAGCATGTAAACGTGAGCAGTTGAGTGGCATGCTGAGATGCATGAATGATTATAACTACCAAAAACAACATGAGAGGAAAATGATGAGTTTCAATTGTCATTGTACCAAGTTTTAATAAATTAGAGCCTTTGGGCCCTCCCTGGTGGTGCAAGGGTTTAAATGTCATCACTATGAAGCTATCTGCAGCCGCTGCAGCACCAGTTTGATCCTGGGCCCAGGAGGTGACCCACATGGCACAGGAGACCTCTCTTGTCTCTCTTGCTGCTCCCTTCAGCAATGTTTTCCAATCTGCCTGTTCTGTTCCCCATTCTATCTCTGGTGAATCCTTTACCTCCCTCACCTCTCGCCTGTAACCCAGTTCTTATATGCATAAATAAATAAATCTTTAAAAAAAATTAAAGCCTTCAAAATGAGGTACAGTGCTTGTTCATTTCTCTATTGTACCAAATGATGACTTTCTTCACTGCTGTACCAATTGAACTTGTACTTCTTTTTTTTAATTCAAAGAATACTGAAATAGTGCTCAAATATTGACATTCTCCAATACACCTGTTATTACCAGGGGCATACATATCATCATCTAGAACTTTGTCATTTTGGCTGCCTCCCTGGGTAGAAACTTCAGATCTGAGAACTTGTCAGAAATATTGAATCTCTGGCTGTACTTAGGTCTCCTGAGGATTCA